TGATGATGATGGTGATGGTGGTGGTGGTGGTGATGGTGATGATGATGTTGATGATGTTGATGATGATGTTGATGATGATGATGGTGATGATGATGTTGATGACGATGATGGTGATAATGATGATGGTGGTGGTGATAGTGGTGGTGGTGATGATGATGGTGGTGATGGTGATGATGATGTTGATGATGATGATGATGATGATGATGATGGTGGTGGTGGTGGTGGTGGTGATGATGATGTTGATGATGATGATGGTGATAATGATGATGGTGGTGGTGATAGTGGTGGTGGTGATGATGATGGTGTGGTGGTGATGATGATGTTGATGATGATGATGGTGATGATGATGATGATGGTGGTGGTGGTGGTGGTGGTGATGATGATGTTGATGATGATGATTGTCAGGTATGGGGTTGTGAACTCGGGGCCTGGCCTGGCTCTGAGCTCTCTTGCTCAAGGCTGGTACTCTACCACTTGAGCCACGGCACACAGAGCTCAGGGACAGTGCCCAGGGGCCACCCCGTTCCAGCCTCAGGGCCGTTGCCCCCAGAATGAATGACCACAGGATGGAAGTCTGTGCATCCCACTGACACACTACCTGTGCTTCATCTGCAGGTCTACAATTCTGGCCCGAGCGCCCTCCCAGGCTCCTCCGTCAGCTTCTCTTTGCCCAACCGTCTGTCCTCCATGGGGGCAGAGATATTTCAAGTCCAGGACGTGGTGGTGAGTCCCCCGCGCTCTTTTTTCTGGTTGCTTCCAACGACCTGGAGCTCTTCCTGCCTTCGTGTGGTGTTGCTCCAGCGTGACAGCCCACAGTGCAAGGGCTCTGGACCGGAGCTCAGCAGGCACTCTGGAGACCCGGAATATCTAAAATTTCTGTGCAGGGTCGATTGGCTCATGATATAAGAAGTCTTATTATGCAGGGTGCCGCTGGCTCCCAGCTGTCACCCCATCCGCTCAGGAGGCTGAGAGCCGAGGATTGCAGTTCAAAGCCAGCCTGGGCAAGAAAATCCATAAGACTCTTCTCTCCAGTGAACCACCAGAAAACCAGAAGTGGCGCAGTGGTTCAAGTAGCAGAGTGCCAGCTATGAGCTCATAAGACAATGGCTTTCAGGAGGAACTTGCCACTACCATTGTTCTTGCTTTGTACCAAGATGGGAACTTGAACTTGTTGCCATCCCAGAGCTTATTTACTCAAGACGGTTGCCCTAGAACCACAGCTCTACCTCTGGCTCTGTGTGTGTGTGTGTGTTAGAGAGAGAGAGAGAGAGAGAGAAATGCATTAGAAGGATCTCACAGACTTTCCTGCCCAGAGCTGACTTTAAACCATGATCCTCAGATCTCAGCCTCCCCCGTGGCTAGGATGACAGGCGTGAGCCACCAGTGCCTGGTTCGGATCATATTTATTTCTGGGTGATGTCATGTAAACTCTAGGTGAGGCAGGAGGCTGCCTCACCCAGCAGCCAGGGCCCTAGGTCCAAGCCCCACCCAGTACCAGCACCCCCTCCTCCCTGCTCAGCCATTGCCTCTCTCCCGCCTGGCAACCCCACACGGAGCCCTGCTGGTGTAGAAACAGGCTGGGTCGTTAGGAAGTCAGCAGCAGGAAATTACAGTGAGGATAAACAGAGCTCATCGGCCAGGGCTAAGACACATGGTTCTCATTTGACCCGCTGAGGGCTTGTTATGTGTGTTCGGGAAGCAGGCACGGGAAGTCGATTCCTCTGACATGTGCTCCAAGTCCTGACCAGAAAAGAAAAGAAAAGAAAGGAGAGGAAAAGAGAGATTGCCTCATAGACACAGAGCAGCAGTTATCTCCCTGGCTGCCAGGGAGCTCGCCCCGTCTCCTCCCCTTTAATCATGGAGACAGGTAACCTGAACCCCATTTCAGGCCTCCCAGGAAGCCCCTGGAGTGGCAGGGTTTCTCTGCTCTATTATTGTACAGGTTCACAAGTGGGGGACCAGTGACTCATGCCTGTGACCCTCCTCTCTCTGTCTAGGAAGCCGGGATGTGGGGTAGCAGTGCAAAGTCAGCCCCAACAAGCAAGGTTCTATGAGTCTCTTTATCGCCAGTTAACCCAGGGGGAGCGGGGGGGGGGGGGCTGCGCTAGAAGTGGAGCTGTAACTCAAATGGTAGAGTGCCAGCCTTGAGCAAAGGAAAGCTAGGGGATAGCACCTAGGTCCCAATGCAACACACACACATACACACACACACACACACACACTGAGATCTCAGATCTCGGATCTCAAGCATGCTATGTCTCCTCCAGAGGAGGTGGCGGGGGGGGGGGCAGGGGGGGATGACTCTTATGATCCCAACCAGCAGATGGGCTCCGCTTCCGAAATGTATCCTTCGTTATCTGCAGCAGGAGAAGCGTTTGTGGCGGCCTGTCCATGCTGGCCTGGGGGTCAGACAGCACCACTACAGCTCCCTTTTTCATGGGGAAAAAAAAAAAAAATCCGACCTCAGAGCTAGGAGTGTGGCTCAGTGGTACAGTGTTTGCTTAGCATGCATGAAGCCCTGGGTTCAATTCCTCAGTACCACATAAGCAGAAAAAGCCAGAAGTGGCACTGTGGCTCACTCAAGAGGTAGAGTGCTAGCCTTGAGCAAAAAAAAAGCTCAGGGACAGCACCCAGGCCTAGAGTTCAAGCCCCAAGACTGGCAAAAATACAAAAAAAAAAAAAAAAACAAGAAAGCTATGACTTCCTTGCCGGGGCTGGCTTCCAACTGCTAACCTCTAGATCTCAGCCTCCCAAACTAACAGCCAAGGGTGACAGGTAAGAGCCGCCGGCGCCTGGCTCCAGTACTGATCTTTATTTCGAACTTTACGGTCCTGAAGTTAATGTTGCTGTGGCCCCCGTGGGAAGGTGACGGTCCCTGGGTGGGCAGGAGGGGCTCGGATCAGCAGAAACATGCCCTGGGCCTCCCGACCCCAGAGGGCGTGCAGAGTTGGGGCGGGGGGGGGGCTGGTCCTCTATTTACCCAGTTGTCATTTCTGTGCTGATGTAATGTGATCTGGAGAAGCAGTGGGTGGGGGAGAATGTCGCCTGGCCCCAAGAGCCAATGGTGAAGGGGAACAGGAGATAACTAGAAACACATGTGCGACCACCATGGTCCCTGGACCCTGGTCTCTGGCCAGCACCACCTCGGCTCTCCCATCCAGCTTTTTACCCAAGAACCATCTTGGAGACGACGCTAGTTCCGTCTTCCATTTATTTCCCTTTTATTAGCGATGGGCCTTGGGGGTGAAGAGACGGAGTCTTGGTCTCCGAGTGACCCTCCCCCGTCCGGGATGAGCATTGGCTTCACGCGTGCCGTTCTTGAACTCGGGGCCTCCTCCTCTTCTTGCCTGGTGCTCTACCGCTCGAGCCACACCTCCACTCCCAGCTTTCCTCTGGCTCCTTAGAAATAAGCGTCTCTCAGATTTGTCTGTCCTGGGACTGGCTTCGAGTCACGATCCTCGCAGCTCAGCCTCCAGAGTGGCAGAGATGGGGACCTGAGCCACTGGTGTTGGCCGTGTTCACCCTGGGCTCAGTTCCCAGAACCATCAACTGTCTGGTTTCCTACCCGCATGCGGTGTTTGCTCTGGGGTCGGGGCAAAGAGTCCTATCTTTCCGGAGGCAGGGTTTGGGCTTTACGGGCGTGTGGCTCATCCCTTCGTCCTCTCTCCCAAAGGCCAGAGGCCGTGTCCTTGGGCGCATGGGACTCAACCGATGTAAGAGATGCAGGAGAAGAAGGGGAGCATGCAGAGCTGATCAGAAGGAAATAGTCACCATGGCTCAGTGGTAGAGCACTCATCTAGCATGCATGAAGCCCCAGGTTTCATTCCTCAGTACCATATACACAGAAAATGCCAGAAGTGGTGCTGTGGCTCAAGTGGTAGAGCGCTAACCTTGACCAAAAGAAGCTCAGGGACAGTGCCCAGGCCCTGAGTTCAAGACACACACACACACACACACACGCACACTGCACACACACACCAACTGGACTCAAGGAACAGTCATGAAATCTTCCCGAAATACCCCATTCTGTGTTAGTGATCTCGCCATTCCTGACAGACTGTTTCAGGCTGGTGTGATTTTTTTTTCCCAAATATTGCTTTTTTTTTTTTTTTGGGTGAGTTGTGGGCCTTGAACTCAGGGCCTGGGCACTGTCTCTGAGCTACTTTTGCTCCAGGATGGCGCTCTACCACTTGAGCCACAACACCACTTCTGGTTTTCCTGGTGGTTCATTGACGATCCGAATCTCATGGACTTTCCTGCCCTGGGCTGGCTTTGAACTGTGATCCTCAGATCTCAGGCTCCTCAGGAGCTGGGGTGCCAGGCATGTGCCCTGGCGGAGGGACGGGTGCCAAGTGAGGAGGCCTTCCTCCTCATTCCTTCAGGACGGAGTTTTGGCTCTTCATCCACTTATGGTGGAGCAGGGAGGGTGATGACACAGCATGTCCCGTCATATGGCCTGTGCCAGATGGCCTGGGCCTCAGAGACCTCCTTCCCTCCCCAGGCCCCCCCTGCCTCTCCGCCCCCACCCCCGCCTTTCCCTCCCACACTCTCACAAGACTCCTCTTTCTCTTTTATTTCCAGGTGGCCCAGGAGAAGGGAAACTGCTCCTTCCAAAAGAACCCCACACCCTGCGTCGTCCCCCAGGAGCAAGGAAACATCTTCCACACCGTCTTTGCTTTCTTCACCAAGTCCGGGAGGAAGGTGTTGGTAAGGAGGGCAGAGCCTGGGCTTCTGCTCCACACTTCTCCCTTCTCCAGTACGGCTTCTGTTTTGCCATCCACCGACTTTAAAAATCACCAGGGGGAGCTGGGAAGGTGGCTCAGTGGTAGAGCGCTTGCCTTGCATGCCTGAGGCCCTGGGTTCCATTCCTCGGCACCACATAAGCAAAAAAGAAAAAAGCCGGAAGTGGAGCTGTGGCTCATGTGGTAGAGTGCTAGCCTTGAGCTGAAGAGCTGAGGGACAGCGCCCAGGCCCAGAGTTCAGGCCCCACGACTGGACCCAAGAAAAGAAAAAAATCACCAGGACCAAGCTGGGTACGCCTGTCATCCCAGCTGCTGAGATGCGAGGATCGTGGTTCAAAGCCAGCCCAGGCCAGAAAGTCCCTGAGACTCTTATCTCACATTCATGAGCCCCCACCCCTTGCACAAAAACAAGCCAGAAGTGGCACTGTGGCTCAAGTGGTAGAGCGCCAGCCTGGAGCAAAACAAGCTCAGGGACAGTGCCCAGGCAGTGAGTTCAAGCCCCATAGCCAACAACATATCTGAGGACCAGGTTGTCCAAGTACAATAAACATGGGTCACAATGTATCAGGAATGCCTACATCTGTCCTGTTCCTTGTCTAAGTTTATACTGTCTGTATCATTTTTCCTTTTTTTTTTTTTTGGTGGTCCTGGGGCTGGTACTCTGCCACTTGAACTGCAACTCCACTTCCAGTTTTTTGGTGATTTGTTGGGGTTAACAGTCTCAACAGATGTTCCTGCCACGGCTGGCTTTGAACTGTGAACCTCAGATCTCAGCTTTCTGACTTGCTAGGATTATAGGAGTGAGCGATGGGCAGTAATTTATACTTATAATTTATATATATATATATATATATATATTTTTTTTTTTTTTTTTTTTTTTTTTTTTTTTTTTTGTCGGTCGTGGGGCTTGAACTCTGGGCCTGGGCGCTGTCCCTCAGCTCTTCAGCTCAAGGCGAGCGCTCTACCACTTGAGCCACAGTGCCACTTCCGGTTTTCTGGTGGTTTATTGGAGATAAGAGTCTCACGGTCTTTCCTGCCCGGGCTGGCTTTGAACCGAGATCCTCAGATCTCAGCCTCCTGAGTAGTGAGCCACCAGCGCCCGGCTTAATTTATATATTTTTTTGTTATCTTTAGCCAAAAGAAAATCTCCCATGATTTCTTTCCTTTTACGTTGACTATAAAATGAGCGGCCATTTGGTACTGGACAGACGAATGAAAAAAAATAAAATAAAATAGCCTGGCTGTCCTTGGAAATCCCTTCAGTTTTTTTCTCTTCTGAAAAGATTTCTCCCTCTAATGGTAGGAAGGAACAATTGTGGTTTTCTTCTTTTTTGTTTTTGGTCTTTTGTCTTCACTGGGGCGTGAGCCCCGTGCTCACGCTTGGCTTTTTCACTCAAGGCTGGCACTCTACCGCTTGAGCCGCCCATACACTTCCAGCTTTTTGCTGGCTCACTGGAAATCAATCTCACAGGCTGGATTTGAACTGTGAGCCTCAGATTTCCGCTCCTGAGTAGCTGGGATGACAGGCCTGGCTCCCTGCGCCCCCCCCCCACCTCTCTCTCTCTCTCTCTCTCTCTCTCTCTCTTTCAACAGCTAGTTGTCTGCGTTCTCTCCTCAGGACTGTGGGAAGCCGGGGATCTCTTGCCTGACGATCCACTGTGATCTCAGCGCCCTGGGCAGAGAGGAAGGCCGCACCATAGAGATTCACACGCTGCTGAACACGGAAATACTGAAGAAGGTGGGTCTGAGAACACGCCTCTCGGAAGTACCTCCCTGCTGTGGCACCCACGGTTCTTGCCCGTCAGCCCAGTGACCCAGGAGCCTGAGAGCTGAGGGTCAGGGTTCGAAGCCAGCCCAGGCAGGAAAGTCCATGAGACTCTCATCTCCACGGAGCCATCACAAAACCAGAAGTGGCGCCGTGGCTCAAATAAATGGCAGACCGCCAGCCTTGAGTGGAAAAGCCGGGTGAGGCCCTGAGGTTTGAGCACAAGCCCCAGGAATGAAGGAGAAGGAGGGGCAGGGCAGGGGGAGGAAGTGGAGGGGGAGGAGAAGGAGAGAAAGAGGAGGAGGAGGAGGGGGATGAAGAGGAAGAGAAGGACAGGATGAGGAGCAGGAAGAGGAGGAGGAGGAGAAGGAAGCACTTCTTTGTAAAAAGCATTTGAATTGGCTTCTCCACACTCCTGCTGTTCTGGTTTAGTTTGACTTTGCTTTGCTTTCCCTTATTTGGGTTTGTCATTGTTGTTGAACCAGGCTTGCTGTCTCAGGGCTGGGATTACAGGCGTGTGCGGCTTCTCTCAGAGCTCGGCTGCCCCTTGTGAACCTCTTCTGCCAGCATCCTTGGTCGCTGTGGGAATACCAGATGTCGGGGGAGCAGTGTGTGGCCCAGGGAGTCCTGGGCTTCACCCAGATGTGCGGGGTGGGGGGTACTCGACCGGGGAGTCTCAGGCTTCACCCAGATGTGAGGGGGTACTTGACTGGAGAGACCCTGGCTTCACACAGATGTGCGTCCGCCTAGTCTTCTCTTTCACGAGCTCCCTTCAGGTCGCTGCTCATCCTGAAACTCTAGAGTCTGACTTCTCTGTCAGGTTTTTTTAACGAGCACCTGGCCAATGCCAACTTCGCAGGTCTGGAAACTACGGATTTTTGTTAAATTTATTTTTATTTTTTTTTTTTTTGCCAGTCCTGGAGCTTGAACTCAGGGCCTGGGCGCTGTCCCTGAGCTGCTTTTCCTCAAGACTGGTGCTCTACCACTTGAGCCACAGCACCACTTCCAGTTTTCTGGTGGCTTATTGGAGATCAGAGTGTCACAGGCTTTCCTGCCCCGATGGCTTTGAACTGTGATCCTCAGATCTTGGCCTGCTTGGCGGGCATGAGCGACCAGCACCCGGCTTGCATTTCTTCTTCTCTAGTGTGTATGGGGGGGGGGGTAAAGAGGGGCTAATGCCAGGCTCCTTAGCAAATCCTGGATCAAAGCAGAGGTCAAAGCTGTGCCTCCACTGTTTCTGGAGACTAAAGCAGAATTATCTGTCACTCTGACACCAGCGTTGGCCTCCCTCTTCCTCCTCCTCCTCCTTCTCCTCTTCCTCCTCTTCCTCCTTCCAGGAGCTGAGCCTAGGGCCCTGGGCTGTCACAGCTCCCTGAGGACCAGAAACGAGGCCAGATATGCAGTCGGCCTGAGCCTCAGGCTCCGTGTTTATTTTCCTTCTGACCTCAGATCTGGCCCTGCCAAGGGAACTTGAGGGTTTGATCGTTTTGGCCTTCACAAGTTCACCTCTGAAATGGAGGATCTGATTTTTTTTTTTTCCATCCCCAGAGAATTCAGAGTATTTTTCTTTTCTTTTCTTTTCTTGGTCCTGGGGCTTGCACTCTGGGCCTGGGCACTGTCCGTCAGCTCTTCAGCTCAAGGCAAGTGCTCTACCACTTGAGCCACAGCGCCACATCTGGTTTTCTGGTGGTTCGTTGGAGATCAGAGTCTCACGGACTTTCCTGCCCAGGCTGGCTTTGAACCGAGATCCTCAGATCCCAGCCTCCTGAGTAGCTGGGATGACAGACGTGAGCCACTGGCACCCGGCTGTGATGAAATTCCCCTGAGATCAACGTGGGGCGTGGAAGCTGGGTGCTGTCTAGTCTGTCAGGGAAAGTCACTGTCACTGGGGTGAAAACATGCCATCTGCTCCACAGGACAGCGCCTCTGTCATCCAGTTCATGGCCCGAGCTCGAGTGAAGGTGGAGCCGTCCTTACGGGTGGTGGAAGTGGCCCACGGAAACCCAGAAGAAATGACGGTGAGTCGGCTGCCGTCAGCCCCCCATGCAGCTGGGGTGACCGGCGCAAGCTACTGGAATCCAAGACTCTCTGGGTAGAGATAGGTCTGTGAGCAGAGGCAGGGTTAAGGTGGAGTAAGGCCTGGTCAGCTTTAGTTTCCAGCCCATTACCCACCCATCCGCTGAGGCTTTTCTGTGGTTTAATCTTCGGTTCGGTAGGGTTCCTTGGGAGGTGAAAGTTTCCAGCAGTGATTGTCCAGAGGAAAAAGTGAAGTCTGAGCCGGGTGCCGGTGGCTCATGCCCATCATCCCACCGACTCAGGAAGCTGAGACCTGAGGATCACAGTTCAAAGCCAGCCCAGGGAGGAAAGTCTGTGACACTCTGATCTCCAATGAACCCAAAAAACGCAGAAGTGGAGCTGTGGCTCCAGTGGTAGAGAGCTAGCCTTGAGCTCAAGAGCTGAGGGACAGCGCCCAGGCCTGAGTATAAACCTCAGGACTGGCATAAAAAGAAAAAGCACAAGCCCCTGAGTTCAAGCTTCATTACCAGCACCACACACACACACACACACACACACACACACACACACACACACACGTGTGCAGGCACACATACACACACACATGCACCCAAAACAAAACACTTAAGCTTGGTATGATGTCAAACACCTATAATCCCAGCTATAGGAAGGCAAAATGAGGAGGATCACAGACTGAGGCCAGTGCTGGACAAAAACAAAACAACTCCTTGAAAAACAACCATAGTAAAAAAGAAAAGAAGGAAGGAGAGGAGAGGGGGAGGAGGGAAAGAGGAAGGAAGAAGGAAAGAAGAAAGGAAGGAAGGAGACAGAAGGTCCTGGGGGCCTGGCTCAAGCTGCAAAGCGCCCACCTTAGAAACAGGCACTAAATCTAAGCTCCAAGAAAAAGGAGAAAAAAACAAACCACAAGAGGACACAGATGCGGTAGGAAGAACTCACAGGTGAGGTGCTCTATGTGCAGACGGAAATCCTCCAGGCACAGGGCCGGAGCGGCCGGAGATGGGATCCAGGAAGTCAGGGTGCCCCATCCTTCCTGAGGGGGTGAGGCAGCTGGGGTTCAGGAAGCTGGGGCGTCCTGTCTTTCCTGAGGGGTGTGCGGTCCTGAGGGGCGAGGCTGAGTCACGGTACTTCCTCCAGAACACCATTTCCGATCGAGGCTGTGTGAGATCACGCTTGGACGGACGGACCGACAGCCTGGCCTGGGCTTTTCATTGTTCTTTCTTTTTGTTGGGTTTTCTCCCCTCCCATGGGGGAGGGAAACGTGAACGCACCAGGCGTCCAGTGTCTCCCCTCCTCTCTCTTCCCAAGACTGCCTTGTTAAATCAGCCCACGAGCCGAGGTGGGGGCATTCCCACATCCAAAGAGAAAGGAAGTCTGACCGGACAGTACCGCAGTCCCTCTCTACCTCCCCTTCATCGTCACAATTTTAAAAAGAGACAAAGACATTTCAAAATGAAAATAATAATAATAGGAAGATTCTCATCATCAGGTTTTTAAGGATTTGTTTAATATAAATTTTAATTTTTTTTTCTGGTCCTGGGGCTTGGAACTCAGGGCCTGGGCGCTGTCCTTGAGCTCTTTTTGCTCAAGACTGGCGCTCCACCACTTGAGCCACAGCACCACTTCAGTTTTTTTGCCAGTTAATTGGAGATCAGCGTCTCTCAGTGTTGCTGCCTCTGACTTAGAATGCTGATCCTCTAATCTCAACGTCCTGGTCTCAAGCTAGGACGACTGGCATGAGCCCCAGACCACAGGACAGGCCTGATATCCTCATCTCCTGTGACAAATGTGGATGGTGCCACGGTGTGTTAGCTTGGGTCCCAGAAGGCAGATGCCCAGAATTCTACATAACCACCCGGCACCCACAGCTCACACCTGGCGTCCTGGCTCCTCAGGAGGCTGAGATCTGAGGATTGCAGTTCAAAGCCAGCCCGGGCAGGAAAGTCCATGAAACTCTTATCTCCAATGAGCCACCAGAAAACCAAACATGGCGCTGTGGCTCAAGTGGTAGAGCGCCAGCCTTGAGCAAAAGCAGCTCAGGGACAGCGCCCAGCTCTGAATTCCAGTCTCAGTGAGATTTCCCTACTGAGGCTCTGGTTTGCTTCCTAGGCCGTCTTCGAGGCTCTGCACAACATGGAGCCTCGGGGCTACGTGGTGGGCTGGATCATCGCCATCAGTTTACTGGCCGGCATCCTCATCTTCCTGCTGCTGGCCGTGCTGCTGTGGAAGGTGAGTGGGCACCATGGGCCCGCAGCCTCTGCCCCACCCTGGGCTTCCCAGATGGGTGGCCACCCCATCTCAGAGCCCCTTACAGTTCACAGAGGCGGGGAGACAAGGCCCCCTGCCACCTGGAAGTGGAAGTTTGTTTTGTGCTTTGTTTTGTTGCCAGTCCCGAGACTTGAACTCAGGGCCTGGGTGCTGTCCCTGAGCTACTTTTGCTCAAGGCTGGCGCACTGCCACTTGGAGCCATATATGGCACCACTTCGAGTTTCTGGTGGTTCCTTGGAGATGAGAGTCTCATGGACTTTCTTGCCCAGGCCTGGCCTCGAACTGCGATCCTCCAGATCTCAGTTCCTGAGTAGCTAGGGTGGCAGGCGTGAGCCACTAGCTCTCAGCCTACAGGTTAAACAATTTCAGGGCAATGTAAAAGCAGAGGAAAGCTGGGCACCCAAGGCTCACGTCTGTCATCCTAGCTGCTCAGGAGGTCAAGATCTGGAGGATTGTGTTCCGAGGCCAGCCTGGGCAGGAACGTCTGTGACTCTTATCTCCAAAGAACTATTAGAAAACCGTACGTGGTGTTGCGGCTCAAGGGGTAGAGCACCAGCCATGGATTAAAAAGCTAAATGATTGTCTGGGCCCTAAGTTCAAGCACCACTTCTGGCAAAAAGAAAGAAGGAGGGAGGGAGGAAGGGAAGCCAACATTCCTTTTACACGGCTACTACCAGACCAGCACCTTCGCGCCCACTTATTTCCAACCCCACCCACAAGACCCTCATCTTACAACTGTCAGAGAAAAAAAAAGAAATTCTGGTTCTTCAACACACGGCCCTCTGCTGCCATCTGTCGGGACGTAGTTGTACTAAATGCTTCTGGCTGCCGTGCACAGCGCACCCAGCTCGGCCGGGTTCAGCTGTGGATTTTGTTTTAGTCAATCGTGGGGCTTGAACCCAGGGCCAGGGCCCTGTCCCTGAGCTCTTGTCCTCAAGGCTGGCACTCTACCACTGGTGCCCAGCATAGAGCACATTATGTTTAAGATGTACTCTTCGGCTCAAAAGCAACAAATGAACCATTGAGGCAGCTTGACTGTCCGTTCAGGAGATCACACACAGCGTGACGGAAACCCTGGCCCAGGGCTGGTGGCTCACACCCATCGTCCCAGCTACCAAGAGGCTGAGTTGTAGAGAATCATGCTTCAAAGCCAGCCCAGACAGAAAAGTCTGTGAGTCTCTTTATATCGCCAGTGAACCACCAGAAAACCAGAAGTGGCACCATATATATGCCTCAAAGTGGTTGAGTGCTAGTCTTGAGCAAAAATTGCTCAGGGACAGCGCCTAAGCTGTGAGTTCAAGTCCCATGGCTGACAAAAATGAACGCTAAGGGACAGCACACAGGCCCTGAGTTCCAGACCCATTTTTTTTTTTCGGTTGTGGGGCTTGAACTCGGCTTGGGCGCTGTCCCTCAGCTCTTCAGCTAAAGGCTGGCGCTCTACCACTTGAGCCACAGCGCCACCTCCGGTTTTCTGGTGGTTTATTTTCCGGGCTGGCTTTGAACCACGATCCTCAGATCTCAGCCTCCTGAGTAGCTTGGATTACAGGCGTGAGCCACCGGCGCCCGGCTCCAGCCCCATTTTTCACACACACACACACACACACACACACACACACACACACACACGGCTGCCACGCTGAGTCAAAATGTTCCCCTCTCCAACACTACCAACTGCACCCTTCCTTCTTTCCTGTCTTGCAGTTGGGCTTCTTTCGCCGAAGGTACAAAGAAATCATCGAAGCGGAGAAGAACCGGAAAGAAAACGAAGACAGCTGGGACTGGGCGCAGAAGAACCAGTGACCTGCCTGCAGTCCCGCCCCCATCATGTGCCGCGGGTCACCTGCCCGCACAGGCCCCGCCCCTGTCACATGCCACCGGTCACCTGCTCTGGGACCCTCCTGTCACGTGCCGGCCGGTCACATGCCTGCGGCCCCTTCATTTTGTGTATCTTCCATATTTGGAAGAAAAGGAAATCTTCTCCAGATTTTTCGGAGGCCCCTCTGATGCTAATTTTGTTTTTTCCCCACTTCCTTCTCCTCCTTATCCGCTCCCATCCAGGTGCTGGCCTGAGACAGCCACTTCCCCTCAAGTCACAGGACTGGCCACCACCTTCTCCACCACCACCACCTCCATCTCCTTCTTCATGATGAACTTTCTTAGGAACGTGAGTGTTAAGAACGAGCCAAGCGATATTTATGAAGAAAACCTGCATGGTGAACCCTCGGGAAAACGGTTAACCTACAAGTATTTTTTTATATATGTGTATATATGTATATACATACGTATATATACATATATATAAGGTTTTTTCTATTGATATATATATTATGTGTCTATATTTGTACTGATGTTTTCTGAGTTCTGTTGAGTAGTTATGACTTCACTCAAGCACTGAAACCCCTCACCTGGAAGTCTGGGGATGACCCGGTGGGATCCGTATGCAAATTTTTTTAACAATAAGAATATTGTACGTGGAAAACTTGCCATTAACAAGCAAACGAACAACAACAAAGACTGGCAGCCGGACGCTGGTGGCTCACCTCTGTCACCCCAGCTACTCAGGAGGCTGAGCTCTGAGGATCACGGGTTTGTAGTCAGCTCCTGGGCAGACAAATCCCAGAGACTTCTCTCCAATAAACCATCAGAAAAGAAAAACAAGGTTGGAAGAACGCTTGGCTCAAGTAGTAGAGCACCACCAGCGTCAAAGGAAAAAGCCACATTGGGAGTACAACACCCCAAGTTCAAGTCCCAGTACCTGCACCAAAAAAAAAAAAAAAAGAAAAAAGACTTGCAGATAAACTGACCTGAAGAAACCGCAAGGAAGCATCGGCCACGTGGCAGGACTGCACGTGCAAAAAAATATATATGGATTTGAGGAAGACCCTAGCATGCTACTTGTGAGCTTTGTGCTCAGTGACAGGTGCTTTTCTACGTGCCTTTCTGGGGAAGGTTCCAGCAGTCATTTGGACAGGAAGCTCAGGTTCCCCCCAAGTGTACTCTGCCTTGACTTCCCCAGCCAACCTCTCTCCTCGCTCGAGCTGGCCAGGCGAGGCCCCTAGCCAGTGCTGGGCTGTGGTTCCTGGGGACAACCTGCAACCTGTGTGCCTTTTTCCGGGTCCTAGGGACCCCACGATGCAGCAAAGGGAAGATGTCCTGGAGGAGATGACCTGAGCCCGGGTCACCTCCGGCCCTCCAGAGGGCCAAGCTGTGCCTCAGTTGTCTCAATTGAGAGCAGGGGAGTCCTCACATTTCTCCTCCTGAAACCAGGGAGCAGTTAACCTGGGCTCCATACCTGCGGCAGCTGGAAGTCATTTGTGGGAGAAGGAAGGCAGACCCCAGTGTGATGCCCTCCTCACGACCCCCGGGCACAGTGTGATGCCCTCCCCATAACCCGAGGCCGACCCTGGCATCCACCACCCTGGCCGCCCATGGCTGGGGTGCAGCGTGGCTCCCCTTCCTGTGAGCCGAGATGCTAGCCAGCGACAGCTCCAGGGAAGGTGTGGAAGGGCGGCCCAGGGAGACCAGGCCCCTCACGGCTGGTGCACTGGGCCCCATCTGTCATCCGGGCCACATCTGTCATCCCGGCCACACAGGAGGCTGAGGCCCGGGAACCCCGGCTCCAAGCCAGTCTGGGGCGGAACTGTCTTGAAGACTCTTCTCACCAGTAAAACAGCCAAAAACTAGTCACGGAGGTGTGGTTTGAGTGGTAAGAGTGCCAGCCTCGAGAGACGCTAAGGAATAGCACCTAGGCCCCGTGTTCAAGCCCCTGTACGCACACACGCACACACAATTTGAGGCATACACGCCATGGGGCACAGGCCCACACGTGTGACACTCTAGGCTTGATTCCAGGATCACAACTAAGTCAATGGAATTCTCTTCAGGGAGATGGCCACGTGGAGGCCCCTGGGCCTTAGGGAGATGGCCACATGGAGATGGCCGTATGGAGCCCCAGGGCCAGGGAGCGGGCCTCTGTCAGGCACCTCTGAGAACGTGGGGCCTGTGTGATGTGCTCTTTGTTTTCACCAGTGGACTCGTGCAACGGCCAGTGGAGAATACATTTCTGGAACAGCTGGAGGGACGACCAGGGTGAGCCCAGTGGATGCCGCCATGTCTTCCAGCCCTGGATGGGGTGATGAACGGCGTGAGGTGGCCTGGGCCTATCTGGTGTCTTCTTTGCGGCTGGAAGGTGTCAGGTCCGAGGTGCCCGCGTGATTGGCACAGTGGGCTTTTGTAACTTGTCTGCATGGCGAGCACCCCTTCCGTGGGCTTCTAGAAGGCTCTGGTCCCGTCCCAGGAGGGGGTCCTCGCAGTCACGTCTCCTGCACTCGAACTGTGTGGGACACGCCGGGTTTACACAAGGATAAAGAAGACGTGTATTTCACAATAAAAGACGGCTGCACACGACCCGCACATGTCTACCTTCCTTTAACAGCCACTCACGAGGGCACTGGGGTGGGTGCACGGTGCAGGACACCGGGTGAGTGTGCGTGGTGCATGAGGGCTTCGGGGTGAGTGTGCACACGAGGATCTGGAGTGCGGTGCAGGAGGACGCTGGGATGCGTGTGCAGTGGCACGAGGCCGCCGGGGTGCGGGGGCTCGGAGCGGGATCCGGGAGAGCGGGGAGCGCAGGGTGTTGGCCGGGGACGCGGGCAGCCGGAGAAGCACTGGGCCAGACCGCGCCAGGTCCGCCCGCCGCCGAGGGCCTCGGCGCTCACGAGCGAGCGCGCCAGGCCCCGGTGCGCACGCAGCCAGTGAGCGGAGCCAGACGCCCGCTGACACCCGCCCCACAGCCAATCCCCCGCAGCTCGTGGGCCCGCCCGAGATCCCTGATTGGCCGAAAGTCCAGGGCTCCGCCCACGGCACAGGCTAGCCCGTGAGCTAGAGGACTGCCCCAGGTGGACCGGGCTACGTTGCCTCTTAACCCTGCCCCAAAACGTCACGTTCATAGACCCTCCCCCAGGGGGCGGAGTCAGTCTCGCAGACGTCCCCCGAGTTCCCTGATTGGCAGACGAAGCCGCGCCACGCCCGCCGCTCGACACGCCCCCCCTGAGCGGTGACGCAAGCCGTGCGGAGGAGTCGCTTGGC